GAGAACATCTGCCCTTCCCTCATACGAAATCGAAAAATCGCAATCACAGACGGTACACACCGCAAATTTATTACATTTCCTTGAGGAAGTAATGGAAGGAAAGTCAAATGTGTACGATTTTTGAAACGTACATGAGTATTTCACCTTTCTCGCAAACATAACAAAAGATGATAATTTCTAAAACTATTTCCCGAAGGCACGTGTACTCACACAACTCAGGACAAGATGAATGAAATAACTAAAGAACATCCAAATAAAGCTTGCTTTGTGCTCATTGGCTAATATATACCAGATGACACGCAGTGGAGCTCGATGCCCATTGGAGAACGACGTTTCTTGATACGTATATGCTTTCACTCACAAAGCAGTTCTCATCTGATTCACAAGGTTTTGTTTTAGATATAATCTAGAGAAAATTCAATTGCTTTCAGACGTCCAAAAATCACTTTATTTATTTATTTTTTTTATAACGAAGTATTAAGCCAAGTTCCATAAAAATCGTGAGAAATTTTAAGAATAAGAAAAAGTCGGGAGAAATATATTGTAAATCGGGTTGGCGGGAGAGCTGTCGAAAATCGGGAGTCTCCCGCCTAAATCGGGAGAGTTGGCAACTCTGCAGGTGTAATTTATTTAGAAAATAATTACACAGCAAATTCAAAACATCTACTGGTAGTGTAGACTTTGAAGTACCCCTTGTATTATGACAAAGTTGTTGTTTCATTTATGGTAGCCTGAGTAGTTGAATGTTGTGGAAACCCTATTGTGACGTAATCGGGTGCATGATTCTGGGAAATTTTTAATCATGGGATGTTTTGCAAGGTTTTTGTGGTGTGTGTTGCTTTGATTCTTTAGACAGTAAGAATGGCCGAATGTAGTAAGATTAATTTGAAGTTTCTACATTATTTAGAGCGAAAGGAGAAAAGAGCTTTATTTGTTTGGTGTGTAAATGAAGGTTTACTTAGTAGCCATTATAAGTGTCCTGTATGTAGGAAGGATATGCGTATAGTCGAACGTAAAAACCGTTTAGATGGATTTGAATGGGTTTGTAGGAAGAAAGGTACAGATGGTCACTATGTGAAGCATTCGATCAGAAAACAGTATCTGGTTTAAAAAACAACATTTGAGTATGATTGATATTTTGATTTTTATGTGGATCTGGGTGTAAGAAGCGAATTCGAAAATCATGGTAAGTGAATATTTGCTTTTGGTACTACTTAAATGTATAACATGTTTTTCCTTCTTTATGTTAGTTTATTGTTTGGTTTAAAATATATTTTATCGAGATTATGTATTTTTTGTTTGCCTATATTGTAGAATTTGGTGCTCTTTTGACTTTTTAAGTGAAAATATATCGATGTGTACATGGATAAAGTAAAGGGAGTGTGCAATGCAAGTTTGTGCAATTATGGGATTTTTTTAAAGTGAAAATAGGCCAATGTGTACATGGAGAAAGTTAAAAGAGTGCGCAATGCCATTTTTGTGCAATTCGGGGATTTTTTTTAAGTGAAAATAGGTCGACATGTACATGGAGAAAGTCAAAGGAGTGCACAATGCCATTTTTGTGCAATTTGGGGATTTTTTTAAATGAAAATAAGTCGATGTGCACATGGATACCGAGTTTGTGCAATTGTTTGTCTTGTTATTTTGGCTTTGTGTAGCAACGATTTTTGGTGCAAAAATCGCCAAAATAACGAGTCAAAGAATTGCACAAAATCGGTATCCATGTAGCGCCAAAAATCGCCAAGGGGTACCCTAAACTATACTTTTACCCATCTACTCACAAAGCCATGTGATCATCAGCACAAAGATTTATCTGCGAAGTCAGGACACCCAATGCAAAGTATCTACATATAGAAAGAAATATCCATTTGCTTTTCCGGCTAATCTTTAGAATATGGTAACAGGTAGTTTGGCGACATTTTGTTAAGGAGATAAAGGTTACTAGCTAGGCCAAAGAATATGTATTGTTAAGAAGGAAAGCTTCGCAGCAGCAGGAATGGCTCCCTCCGAACGAAAAGGGACTCAACTGCACATGCGTGAAATATGTCGCCAAAAAGCGCCGAAGCTCGAAGGTGATGTCGAAGTTCAAACAGGTTCGACAGTCACGTTTATCAAGAGTTTAAAGCTGTGTGACTCCATTTTTTCCCCTACATATTGACAGATATAAAAGCAGACATCAAACTGCGATATGGATAATACAACTTCACCAAGTAAAGCAAAAAAGCATGAAAATTCGAGTTTAAATTATCGCAAAAATACTGGTTTATATGCATCTATGGAGCCTTTTCTTCTTTACATACTTTCTTTGGATAGGCCTTTAGCAATTATCTGAGAAGTACACAGTTCGAATCACAGATTAATAGAAATGAGATCATAAGACATGTAATGTGACCTTTTCCAGAAAATTCCGATCGTGATTTTAGCTAATAAGCGCTTAGAAACAATTTCGCTGCTAAAGTGCAGAATCACCCACTTATTTGTTTAGCACTTTTTACAAGAGCAAGAAAAATTGGATTTTTGTCGATTTTCTTTGTCTTTTTAAGTGAAAATAGGTCGATGTGTACATAGATAAAGTCACGAGTGTGCACGGTTATTTTTGTGCAATTCTGAGATTTTTTAAAGTGAAAATAGGTCGACATGTACACGGATACAGTGTACGTCGAATGCTTAAAAAGGTGGCAAGCAGTTTGCGATTCTGCAATTTATCCCAATTTCGCACCTAATCTTCATCATGATTAAAGCACTTTTGTTCCATAGAAGTTCTAGTATAAGCGTAATTTGGCTAGCAGATTGTTAGAAAAAATGCTGAGTTAAAAAAAAAAAAAAATATATACATGCCTTTACTTCGTGAAAACAAAACGGCGTCCAAAACAAAATTTGCAGGTTGCTGTAGCAGGGTTGGTCGCCAAATTTTTGCCAAGTTACCATAATGTAAAGATTCACCGGTTTTCCTTATCTCAGTTAATTTCTGACCTAGCAACCTTAACACTCTTCCCACTGTTTGTCACCTATCGCCCAAATTGGCGAATACGATTTCAGGAGCCTTGCCAAATGTCAGTTATCTGAGGTACTCCCCATTTTTTTGGCTGATCTTTGAAATATGGTAACTGGTAGTTTGGCAACATTTTGGAGGCGATAAAGGTTACTACCTAGGACTTTGGTAATAATGTGAGAAGTACTCAGTTCCGATTACGCATTATTTTGTGTGAGGGAAATGAGAGATTATGAGATATGTCATGTGACATTAATGGCACAAATAAATTACAGTTCTTTAATCGGAAAAGGGGGGGGGGGGGGGGGAATTTGGAAAAACATCTGCAGTACTACAGCTGCATTTTGTATTAAGCTTCATTGTGTGTTGTGTGAAATAGTGGAAGTGTGCGTGCCACGTAATGAAGATTAGGTAAGTTAGTATTTTTAATCATTTGAGGATATTATTTTTATGCATTGTTCTAAATGTAAGGAGTAAATAAATTAATATGGTATTATTGGAAAATTGTTATTAACAATGATTTAGTTAAAGTAATTAGGATTGTAAATGATTTAGTTTAAAGTAATTAGGATTGTAATCTAATTTTTATTAATTTAATGCATGTGCTTATTTATATTTTAAGTAGTGTTTTTTAATTTAATGATCGTGATTATGTGAGTTATATGTTTGTAGTATTTTGGAATACGTTTGAGTATTTTCATGCATTTTCGTGAGATTTTTCTAATTTATGAGAAAAAAGCAGTGTACATGGATATAGTGAAGAGTGTGCGTAATGCCATTTTTGTGCAATTCTGTGATGTATTTTTAAGTAAAAATAAGTCGACGTGTACATGGATTAGTGATATTTTAATTAAAGGATAGTTATTTTGTGAATTTTATGTTTGTAGGAATTTGGTATACGTTTCAGTTGAAGTAAACGTATATGGAAATAATTTAAATATTTGACACTAAGTATTTGTAACCATTTGTAATGTTTGCGGTATGAATTCGTTGGTGACGTTTATAATATAATAGATAATTTAGAGATAAAAGTTTTTGGATATTTTATTTATTTTATACGTGGAAATGTTCATTCTTAGAAAGGGTATATACTTTTTGCGATCAGGTAATTTCATATATTCGCTTTTTACCAAGTTTAAAGATTCACAAAATTTTCCTGCATTTTCGTACAAATTTTTGTAATTTATGAGAAAATAGCAGTGTAGATGGATAAAGTTAAGAGTGTGTGCAATGCCATTTTTGTGCAATTCTGGGATTTTTTTTAAAGTAAAAATAAGTCGAAGTTTAAATGGTTTATGTGTATGTGCTATTCTGAAAAACGCGCAAGGAGTTTGCGATTGTGCACTTTTTCCCAATTTTGCAGTTAATATTTGTCATGATTAAGCAGTTTTGTTACATAAAATTTCTAGCATAAGTATAATTCGGCTAGTAGATTGTTGGAAAAAGTGTTCAGTAAATAAAAAGAAAAATGTCTTTACTTCGTGAAGACAAAATGGCGGTGAAAAAAAAAATAGAGGGTTGCTGTAGCATAGTTGGTCGCCAAAAAATCGCCAAAGATCCAAAGATCAACTTTTTTTTTGTTGTTTTCTATATTTAAGTGGGCTTTGTAGACAAACTGATTATTTTTTTGTTTTAAAACTCAATTTTTAAATATGCACTTGCAGGATTTCCTTGTAATGGGAGAAACTGCCATAAAATTTCAGCATGATTCCAGCTATTTGACGAAAAATAAATAGACTCCAATAATCATTAATGTATATGATTGTGCTTCATTACTCATCCTCAAAATGCCCTCCACGTTCAAAAAATGTTTTCTACATTAGGTAGAAACAGGCAGTCCAGCCCTGGAGATTTCGAACTGCTCATTCAAGGACAGATTTTTCATTCCACAATGTGAAATTGGATTCTGGTATTTAGATTAACTTTTTTAAAATTCAGCATTAAAAAACAAACATCCTAAAATATTAAATCTTGCTTAATTAGAAAATATGCAGACTAAAGTGCTTACTTTTATAGGTAAAGAAAACAAATAGATTTCTTGCAATTCTTTAATTTTCCCATCTTTGACTAGTCGGCCCAATTTTGTAACAGGTGTCCATTCCTTTTCCTCCTTTCCACGACCACGGCCTCTTCCACGTCCTCTGCCTCTACCACGGCCACGGCCACCTCGTCCACCACCTCCAAATCCGCCACGAAATCCTCCTCGTCCACCGGCTGGAGCAGCGTCCGCCATTCTATGTATAAAATTAAAATCTTCTTTGCAAATGTTACTACAAACACATGCAGAAAAATCTTCAACAAAACTTTAAAAAAGGAAAATGACATTTAAAAAGAAATTTAGTTTCAGGCCACACTACAACTCTGTACCATAATGGACTTAAGCAATACTTAAAAATGGGAAAAAAACCACAAATTCATTATTTCTATGAAAACACGTTATATAATCATTAAAATATTTTAAATATAAAATTCTAAATTAATAAATTGCAAGTTAAGCTATATTTTCTCATTCTCTATGTACTTATCAGTGATACAAAATAAGTAAAGCACTGAAAGCTAGACTATTTCTCAGTTTGTCAAAATTCTGAAATGTGGATTCAAGAATAATTATCTATTTATATAAAGAGAATAAAACAAAGAAAGGAAGCACTTCCACAGAGAACCCAGTAAATGTAAACATTGCCAACTTTGGCGATAATAGTTCTAACTTGGTAACCCTTCGGATTTATACCATTCGCTTGTTCGAAGTTTGCAACCATTCCTCTTGCGTTTATTTTGTTGAATTAAGACTGTCGTTGTTCGCATTTGCAGATTTATATTATTCTCCTCTTATTTATTATTATTTTTTCTGAATTTTTTAACAACAAATAGTTAGAAATATTTTCGTAGATAGATGCCGGTTCTCGGTTCGGAATGAAAGGAGGGGTGAATGCTAATTTGTAACACGGCTTTTCACGTTGTGTTCTTAATTATTAATAGCTCGATAAGAACCACGAGGTTTCCAAAGTCTAAAATAATTTGGTTTTCGTAGACCTGCAAAAAATGTGCATGTGCACTTTAAAGTAATTAAGCTTTTATTTTATTATACTATTGGTTATTGTCATCTTAAATTATGAGAATAAAGCAATTTTTATGGCGTAAAATTTTAACAAGATAATAAGTTGTTGCTACGTTAGAAATATTGTTAATGCTTTTCTAACAATAACCTTTCAGAGGATGGGCAGGTGTGGCATAAATAGATGATTAAATTGAAATAAAAAATTATTGATTATCTAAGATGACAGAATAGTTTGATGCATCCACCATGGTCATCAAAATTAGCAAACAACTGCTGGTGTAAGGAATATATTGTTTTCTGTGTTAACTGGAATTTAAGACAAAGTTTTTTCGTACAGCACGTTTAACCGGTTAATTTCAGTATATTAATACTAATTTATATTTTTTAAATGAATTTTTATTTCCGTTATAAATGCTTATATATTGTCTTATGCTTAATAACATACTCTTTTCTGTATGTTATCTTTATAATGTCTTGTTCAACAAATACGAGAGGCTATACAAACTATATAAAGTGGAAAACTTTTTAGCTTACTTCACAATTACTGAATATGATATATTTTGGTTAGACGATTCACAAATCTAATACCTCAAGTAATTTACGGGATAACTACATACCAAGAAACAATATAACATTACAATGGAAAACAAAATACAGTATAGAAGATTTTGGTAATAATCCTAGGGCAGTACAGCAGACATTATACAAAATTTTTTACAGAGTACGCAAATAAAATAAACAAACTATACATTTATAACAAACCTCTGTTTAATTTAACACTAAGTTTAATATAATTTTAGATAAAACTAGATTTAATAAAGCTGATTAATACAGATTTTACAAGCACTGACTACTTACGTTTAACACGCTTATTGATGTGTGTTTGAATGATTATATGATGCCACCGTTGTTTATTAAAATAGTTTGTATTTAGCTGTATTAAATTCCTAAAAATTTTTATTTGGAAATCCAGAAAAACCTTAATTCTAGAACCAAAGAAATGCAATCATTAAAGTTGTTAATGTTGTCTAATTATGGATAAATTTATATGAAATAATTACTAACAGAATCTAAATATGGGTAAAAGACTGTCAAGTTTTACATCAGAGTCTATATATTATTTAATATTCATAAAAAATGCCAAATTATTTGTATTTTAAATGCATATAAACTTTTAGATGTATTACAATCATAGCATATACTGAAAAATAAATTTAAGGTTGATTTTTCTCGTAGTTCTTGCAACCAAAGAGTTATGGTGCTTGAGGTTTTTGTTCTATTTCCACGTTTAAATGAAATTAACACTTAACAATTTAATAATTAAAATTAATATTATAATTAATTATATTATAAATTAACAGCTAAAAAGATGATGCCACAATATTAGAACCGCAACCGATCGCGGTTTCACGCAGACACGAAGACAAAGTTAGCAGTTTATTTAGTACTAACAAATTATTCACTATTTAATAGTATTAAATTAAGTATCTTTTTAAAATTATGGTAACTGGTGACTTAGCAGATTCGAAAAATGAGGAAGCAATTAATACTTCCAAAGAATCTGATGTTCATGTCCATCAAAAAACTTTTACACTCGAAAGTATCCTTTTAAACTCGTTCATAAAAAAAAGAAATAATAATAATAATTCTTCATTATTTTTCCAAGTAAATTAATTTGCAGTTTTTCTGTAATTTATTTTCGTTATAACTGCTCCAGATATGATGTTTTGTTTACCTGCAATATAATCTAGAACTACAGTTGAATAAGTTTATTCATAAACCTGACAATTTTTTTTTTCATTAATCTTCGGATTATGACTTGTATTTACTACATTGCGTGTATCGTCTCTTAAGTGTATCGTCTTATATTCTTTAGAACTCGTTACGTGTTTAAAAGCTTTAATGCTTGATATTTATCAAAACATAAATAAGCAATTGTAATAATATTACAAAGGAGAAAATTCAAATATTTATACTTCTATCAGATATCTAAAGTTTATACCTATAAGACATTTTTGTTATGCTTTTTAATTCAAATATACAGAGCTTAATATTAAATTCTTGACATTTCTTTTGAATAATTCTAATACGTTAATTAATCATTAAATAACTTACTTTTTTAATTTTAAAAATAAATTTTCTTTCCTAAACTAAAAAAAAACATATAATGGACACTTTCAGAATTTTCAGATCAAATTCATCCAATGGTGCAAAACTTGAGAATGACTAATAACAACCTAGTCTCTTTCTCTTATTTATTAAATTTCCTTTTGTGCATAAATACAAATACATACATTTGTATGTGAATAAATTTCTTTCTATCTTATTACAATTTGACACTTAATGTGTTTCAATTGTGATAAAACTTGTAGTATTTGAGAGAATCTTCAAATCTTTTAAAAAAAATTGTTGCATTGTAAATTAATTAGCTTCATTTATAGATTTTCTGGAGTATAATTTACATTCGTTTTTAATGGAAATGAAAATAATGTAAACTCAAGATTTCAAATAACTGAAAATTTGAAATATTTGCAACACAATTGAAATATATTTGTGGGTCATATAAAAGTGATTCAGGGGTAGTCAATTTGAGACCATTGCTGTAGACTATGTTCTTCACTTGCTTTCATAATTAAGAATCAACTAGGCTAAAGTTTGACTGCCACAAGAAATTAGCCTTCCATATCTGAACCTTGGTTGAAGTTAACTCCATCAGGAGTATTTCCTAAATGGGCTTTAGTTCTCTTAAATAATTTTGGAATAATCTATAAATATTTGTAACATAACAATGTCAGATATATTTATGTTTCAGTGCTTTTTATGTGTATTCTGATACTTAAAGAACTGTAAAAATGTGTTATTCTTAAGTTTTGTAATGAAACATTTTTTAATAAGTATTGAATTTATTGAATTTGTTATCTTGATGAATTTTGAAATATTTCTAATGTTTATAAGAAAAAAAAGCAACATTAGTTCAAAATAAGTTTTGAATAAAACTCTGTTATTGCTTTTTTTGCCTAATTTAAAATTTTATATTGGCATGATTTGCTCCAGTTAGATTTCTTAATGTTTTGAAGTATTACATATTATAAAAGATGCTCAACAGCAACATGGACTTCGTCATGGAGATTATCAACGGTATAGGTAAGTGATAATTTTAATGAGTATATGTTTTAGGTAGTCTTTATAGATGCTTAATTAATAATATTATGTCTTTTTTTTAATATGTGCAGAAGTTATTGCAGCCGAAAGCTTCGAAGAATTCGGAAATCTTTACATTTCAGTCAAGCCTCAAAGCATAGATTTCAGGCAAAAAAAATTACCGAAGATACTCTAAATGATGTTAGGTAAAAGAAATTTAATTTGCTTTCATTTTTTGTACTGTGTAGTTCAAATTTTGAATGACTAATGTTTAATTGAAAAATAATTTTAAAGAATATTTATAATTTTTTTCTAATGTGCATTTTTTGGTTAAAATGTTTTGCAGTGTTTTTGAATGTGTGATGCTAGCAAAAATGTTCTTCAGACTCTTTTTGACTGGCAAGTCATTATCGCTCCATCTGTGTAGATACGATGAAATCATTGAAATGTTTTAAATAACGCTTTTATTAAACTTGAATTCGCAGAAAGCACAACTTGCGTACAATCAAATTCTGCCATTTGCAGGTATTAAACAGAAAATTTTAAATACAGCTTAAAATGGATTTAACCAAATTTGTTTATTTAAGCACTGGCAAAAACTAGTAATGGTACAATTAAATTTTGGCTAGCAGAATGGCTAATGCTGGAATACTTACTGGAAGAGCCGGGCAAGAGAAAATAAAGGCTGTAATAGTTGCTGCTAAAAGCTCTATCTCCAAAACGTTCAATACTCACCTTAAATACTCCTAACTCTCAACTGATCTGCATCCTGGTTAGGGCTAATGGAAAGTTATAGTAAACATACAAATCATAAAAGTAGGTTAATTAACATAAAATATCTTTAATGTAATCAAAATTGAGTGAAGCATTATAATTGCATGACTAGGATGATGAACAGATGAGTTGATCATCTGTACAAAGCGAAATGTAAAGAGTTTATAGGATTTTTCTCTAACCAAGGTCTGATTGCCATCTAAGGTTAGCGCTCCAGATTTTAACTCTTTTGTGACAGTGAAACTATCAATATGCAACTTATGAATCTGTGGGTTAGTATTTTTTGTACATTAACATCATCAGTTTCGTCAGATTTCATCAGTACATTTAATCACCTTTTTCTCAATGTGCTGTGTTTATACATGATTCATTTTCGTCACAACTTTCTAAATCATTTTCGTTCACCAGCTGTTGTTTCTTCATATTTAATGAATGTCAGGCTAGTGATGAAAGGCTTAAGGGGCTCCAAATCATCTTCTATCTTCTCATAACCTTGTTTTTATCTTATGTAAACAAGAAATATTAGCATAAGGTATTCTTGAAAAGATTATTTGCCTAGAGCCACAGAGTGTCTAGTTGCATTTCAACTCTTTTTAAATGAGTGTTCATTTTATGTACACCTTGGATTGCTGTTTAATTTAGAGTAAACTGAGTAGTTGAAAACCCTATTATGATGTGATTGGTTGCGTGATTGCATTGAATTTAACTGACGGGAAGATATTTGTAAGCGCTTATTTATATGTTGGATGTTGGTTAGGAAGTGTGTTGCTTATTTTGTGCTTTTGCTGGTGATATGAATAACCTGAAGTTTCTATATACTTTAGAGACTGGGAATGAAAACATTGATTGACTGATGTGCAAATGAAGATTTAAATGGCTTCATTCACCTCTCAGTAAATTACACAGTGAAATTTAAGGATTTGGAAACCGAGCTCATATCAACACTATGGCAGGTATAATAATAAATCTAGTGTACGTGCCCCACCTTTATTTGGTACTACATGGACTGGACCCAGGCTGGAAACCCCCATATCAGGCAAGGGGAGGATCACAGTCAACTTTTTCCTCGAGAGGATCGTAGGTTAACTTTTGCTACAACTCCGGGGCCCCAACCAGGAGTGGCAGACTTTTTTTTTAGGTTTTCCTCTTCGCCAATGGATGGGTAAAAACATTGACCTGACAGTTTGACAGGTTGTTAATTGCTCCTGCCAGTACTACGTGGGCAGTCCACCGGCTGAAGGTTAGACATGGAATACAGGTGATGACCACGGACTGGCCGTGGCATGCACCGCTACCAATACCATGGGTTTACACGGAATACAGGTCCAGAGGCAAGCCTCGCCCGCTACTGATACCACCAGCACGGTGACCTATAGCCTTTCCCCCCTTGGTCCAGCCGCACAAGCAACCTTCCCTTGGGGTTCAACATATGGTAGGTATGTGGGATGTAATAAAAAGGGATTTTCGAAAGAAATGCTGTCAACAGTGCAGCAGTATGGAGAACATTCTTCGTTTTTACTTTTGTGAATTTATGTGGTGATGGCAGTGTACAAATTCTAGTTTAGATAATTTTAAATAGTTTTTAAATGCTGTTAAAGAATTCTGTGTGTCTTACATACCAAGGAAACAAATTTTTTAATAAGTCGATATTTCCTTTTAGTATTGCATATATTACATAACATGTATTTCCATTCTTATGTTATTTAATTGTTTGATTTTAAATGCAGTTTATTGAGATTACATATTTTTTATTTTAATTATGTTTAATTGCATTATGTTTTGGATGCCATTTTACTAAGGAGTGTGCTGGACATAAACAGGAATGGTGCCAACAAAGTCACAAATTTTTCACCAAGGGGTATCCTGAAATATATTTTTACCAAACACATGCCTCTGTACATATGAGTATATGCATGCATGTATATATATATTTCTGAATCTGGTCCCAATATCAGAAGAGTACCAAAATTTCCCTACTTGATTATAGTCTGACATTTTATGTTGTGAATTTGATGTTCAGAAGATTTGATTAAAATTTGAGTACTTGGGGGGTAATTTGGATACTGTACACGCCATATGTACATACATATATATGCATGCATACACCAACACATCCATCCATCCATACATACATACAATTCTGGACTCAATCCTGATAACAGAACAGTGCCAAAATTTGCAATGCACTGATTATAACCAGGGCTGTGGAGTCGGTAGGGAAAATGTCCGACTCTGACTCCTGGAATTTTAAAGACTCCGACTCCCTCATATATATATATATATATGATGTAAGAAAAATAAAGAATATGTTAAAGCTTAAATTAGCAGCATAAATTAATTTCCCTTCTCTATTCTAAAAATAGTAACCCCTCTCTGCACTGCGTCATTTCGAGACTATTCTATGTCATATGACAGGGTTGCCACGCTACCTGGAAAACCGGGAGAACCGGGAAAAGTCAGGGAATTCGAAAATTGACCAAAATATTCAGGGAAAAGTCAGGGAATTTAAGTATTTTTGGAAAAGTCAGGGAAGTTCATACAACGATCCCGCCAAAAAAAGCGATTTTTGCGCCGACGTCGGAAGAGGTAACTTTTTTGGCGAATTATGTATCACGTGAGTGTCATTCGGGTAGCTGGCATAGAGCCAATTTTCGCAGCTCCAATTTGTGTCTTTTAGAAAGGCAAAGCAACTTTCCGCAACTTTTGGTTTCCAATATTCTCGAGAATCGCATGTGCAGTGCATGTTGAACTAAAGAAAAGTACTTATTCTCTTATAAAACAAAATTGCTTTAATCCTGGTATACGGTAAAATGGAGGTTAGAATCAAAGAATATGTATTGTAAAGAAGGAAGACCTCTCTGGGAACAGACGTGGCTGTGGCTCCGTTCCAATCGTAGAGGGAAAACAGCAGTGCATGTCGTGAAATATGTCGCCAAAGCTCGAAACCGGTGTCGAAGTTCGAAGGTCACGTTATCAAGAGCTCATAAAATTGAATATCGTTTAAAATTTCTTTAACCACTTGCGCTAAAAAGACGTCAAGAGCTTTTGTCTCAAACCGCGAGCGACGTGAACACCACGTCGATAAGCATTTATCGCAAAAATGAAAATAACGTGGTGCACACGTCGCCTAACAACGAGATTGTTTATTTCTCGAGTTACAGCTCTGATTGCACTCGCAGATGCGGAGCGGCGTAAATGAGACACTTTACGCTGTTTATATTGTAGCGCACGGCACCGCAACGTGAAGTTTAGTCTTAGTGCAAGTGGTTAAACTCTAAAGGAAAGAAAATATTTTTTGGCGCAAGTAAATTAATTCATGGATTAGTTATTTTCAGGGAAAAAAAAATACGAAAATCCGTTTTTAAATTATTGCGAAAAATCCAGAAGAAACGTCCTTTGATAAAACGTTTCCTTCTTGGATTTTTCGCAATAATTTAAAAACGGATTTTCGTAGTTTTCTTTTGTCAAAAAGCGTTTCTTCTTGACACGTGTTTTTCTCAATTTCCTGTATACATCGCGGAGAGGGAATTCTGGCCGCCAGGTTCCGTCGCCAAATCCTTGGCAAATTTTCCCTCCACATTCTAGCGGCGTATAGCATTTTACTTGTATGGAACCTTTTCTTCTTTACATAGACGTTGTTTGGTTAGAATAATAATGGGATTTGGCGACATCTTGATGCGCAGTAAACGGGTCATTTTGGTCTTGGCGATAATTTTCAAATCGTGCCAAAGCCTTACCGTATACTAGAATTTTACCGCAAAATCTTTTTAAACCTTTTTTTTTTTTTTCTTTTTAATAAATACCTTGCCATTTTGCAGTAAAATAAAAAAATAGTAATCAGTCATCTAGGCTAGCCATGTAATATAACTATATTCGCTAAAATATCGTTGATTATTCTAATTCAATTTTTAAGTAATTATTTTTATGTTATTCATATAATTTAATGTATAATTCATGTAATCTTCCCTCTAAATTTATTTATTAGTAGTAAATAATATTTCCAAATTTCAGGAAATTTTCTCTGGCACAATCCTGAAATTAATTGTAGCAGTATGATGACATACCATCACGAAATTTAATGCACATATTTTTTCCTTATGTATGCTGTGGAATAAATATAAAATACTTCAATTTATTAAAATAGATTTCTTTTTTCGTTAGCTGCAGAATGTCTGCAAAAAAAAAAAGCCTTATTTTATTCCAGATTGGGAAGATTCTAATTTCAATCTTCAGTGGAGAAAACAACAACTATTATAATTATATTGTGTTTTCAAGTGTTAAGGTGCCTTTTAAGAACATACCTCACGCAAATTAAATTTACCTAAATATAACCTAACTATTTAGCATTGCGTGTTGATTTATAAGGACCGGATTAGCCTCGTTTGAACTGGTGATGATCATGAGTAATAATTAAATAAACATACATTTGTTA